CAACTGTCCCATTTGCATTGCTTGTTTCTTCTAAAACTAGCACTAAATTTGACAGAGTTGTGTGAGGATCAAGCAGTTTCAGAAGAGGTATGTCCACCTTTCTCTCTCGAAAGACACGGTTCTGAATTGTCATAGCTAACATAGAGTCCATGCCCAATGATGAAAGCGGCGTATTCATGGTTAGTTCATCTGGCTTCAGCCTGGTGAGGTCACTCACCAGTGAGATGATATAGTCTTCAGATTTGATTAAGGCAGTATCCTGGACTTGAGTTTCCTCAGAGGTTTCAATCTTACTCCTTAATTCTTCTGACATAAGTGACACAAAGCGGCTTTTGAGTGAAACAATCCGAGTAAAAACATGAGTCAATAAAGTCTGAAAGTTTAATTTGACGACAGCTTGCTGTGGCTTATTCAGAAGTAAGCTCTTCCTGAGATAGTCATGAATTTCATCCACTTGCAGAATGTCTATGCCCTTGGATTCCAGAACATTCTGAATATGGGTTTGATTGAGCAGTATGCCAAGGTTCAGTGCACCCCAGTTAATGGCTTGACCTGCAAGCCCACAGTTCCTCCTGTAGAGGCAGAAGACATCCAAGAAAGAGTTGGCAGCTGCGTAGTTTGCCTGGGTGGAATTTCCCAGAAAGGAAGTTACAGAGGAATAGCACACAAAGTAGTCAAGCTCCTGGCCTCTGGTAGCCCAATGAAGATTTAGGGTCCCTGCTACTTTGGGGCTCAGCACTTTCTGAAAGTCAGCCAAGGTCAGAGTTTCAACATGGCCATCGTGTAAAACAACAGCACTTTGAAATACTCCTTTGACTGGACTCCCTGCAGAGATGTTTGCAATGGTCCGGAAAGCTTTCTCAGCATCACTGGTCGAAGTCACATCACACTGCACAAACACTACTTTGCTCCCCTTATACCGCTGCTCCAGAGCCTTCAGCTCATCTTGCTTCTCTTTGCTTGGACTTTTCCTGGAGAGTATTGCAATACATCCCCCTCCATTCTCCGCAATGAATTTCACTGTTTCAAAGCCAAGTCCAGTGAGCCCTCCAACTACTACATAAACACCATTCTG